AGATTCCTTCAGGGCATGAATCAGAGGGGTCCATGAGTTATGTAAGGAGAGATGAGCAGCAGGACCCATACTGAGTTGTGGGGAGAGGTGGAATTCTGGGTGATACTGGAGCATGGAGGCGAGGTACCACATGGTGCTGCCAGATCTAAAAGACATGCAGGCCTTGAGGAAGCAGACATATACAGGGTGGGTGAAAGACACCCACAGAGTGAGTGGCAGGGAGGTGAGGGGGGGAAGCAATTCACCCCATCAGAATGGGTGGGGAGGGGTAGGCTGTCTCCAAGGCTGTAGATAGAACTGAATCCTGGAGCTGCAAGGTCTGTAGGGGTGTGAGGTTGTCTAGGACCTAGTTAGTGCTCAATAAAGAGCTGTGAGCTGAAGAGATGGAAAGTTTAGATAAGCCACCAAGCAGCAGTAGGAGACCTCAGGGGTTGGTTACTTAGGGCAGCGGGGTAGGTGAGAAGAGAAGGCAGCTTCGCCCCTTCCATCCTCGGATCTGGCAGCCATGAAACCTTTCTTCTTTCTTTCTTTCCTTCTTTCTTTCCTTCTTTCTTTCTTCCTTCCTTCCTCCCTTTCTTTTTTTGTCTGGGCGTGTCCCTCAGCTCTTCAGCTCAAGGTGAGCACTCTACCACTTGAGCCACAGTGCCACTTCCGGCTTTTTCTGCTTGTGTGGTGCTGAGGCAAGGCCAGCACTCTACCACTGAGCCACTTTCCCAGCCCCCCAAGAAACCTTTTCTCCTTTTTCCTCTCACCCTGTCTGGAACTAAGCAACAAGGAATTTTTATTTTTTTTAAACTGAGATGTGAGAGAGCCCCCAAAGTTTTATAACAGGCTCTCGACACAAATTGCTATAGAGAAGAAAAAAAGTCACCCCTGGGAAACTTATCTAAGAATTTATCATGAGTTGGCCTATTTTGAGACTCAAATTACACAGGAGGGCTTGGGGAAAATAGACGCGTGCGGGGATGAACACAGCTACAATTAATGTTAACTATAAGGTGTCATATCTTTACAGAATGCAGGCAGCAGTGTGTGCTGTGGAGGGCGAGAGGAAGGTGAATTAGGTGGGAGGGGCAGCAGCCTTGGGGAAGGAGGAGGGAGCAAGAAGCAGGAGGCGACCTGCTGGAGAAAGCAGCAGTCACCTTGGGCAAGGTGGCCTCTAAAGTTGGAAATGCAGCCAGTATGGGCCCCACCTAGTTCCAGAGAACTCAACTCAAAACCGGAGGGACCAGGAGAAGAAAGACCAGGGGCTTTCCTAAAGTGTCACCGCCTCAAGGAGTATCACTGGGCCCAGACTAAGCTACATCACTTAGCTAAAACTATAGAACCAAAGTGAGAAATCAATTTCCCCTGGATGGAGGAATGGCTCAGTTGGTAGAGCACTAGCCAGTGAGCAAAAGCATCAGTACTGAGTTTGAGACTTAGTCTTAGACCTTCAGAAGGAAGGAAGGAAAGAAAGAAGGAAGGAAGGAAGGAAGGAAGCAATTTTTCTTTTTAAAAATCTAATTAGTTGGTGTTGTTGGCTCTAGCCAATATGAAGTTCGAAGCCAGCCCAGGGAAGAAAAGTCCCAGTAAGACTTGTATCTCCAAGTAGTAGAGCACTAACCTGGAGAAAAAGAGCTCAGGGACAGCACCTAGACCCTGAGTTCAAGCCCTACAACTGACAAAAAAAAAAAAAATTACTAGTAATACCCAGAATGTTTAGTTGTGCAGGAGAGTGGTAGGTAGCAGTATCAGGCTCTATGAATTTGTATCTCCCTATTTCCAACTGGCAGCCAATAGCATAACCTTGAATGGGGACATTTCACCTCCCAGAGTCTCTGTTTATTCTTCTGTAACATCTCACAATTAGCATCTTCAGTCTACTTTAGCAGACTTGAGGGAGTCAAATAAGAAAACTGTACAACCTCTTGGTCCTGTGTCACCATCTTACAAAGATTACTGTGAGTCATTTGTTCTGGTTTGATTTTCAAGGCTGAGGATGGGACCCAAGGCCAGGGCTCTAGCAGTGAGCTACATCTCTAGCCCTTTACTAGAGGGCTTGACTTCCAGCTAAACCGAGCTCTCCTATCTGATTCCTCTTTTCTATTCCTGTCAACCATCATGTTGTCTAGCACGCATTAACCTCCCCCATAATGTGGGCTGAATAAGTCATTGGTATGTAAATAAGAATTATTATAAAAAGACCATAGTTGTGTTTCATATTAGTTCTATCTAGGGGAGATCTTCAACTGGGAACTGGTTCTAAAATATTCTACTCTGCTTCTAACCTTTTATTTTTTTGGGGGGAGGGGTCAGGTGTGGGGCTTGAACTCAGGGCCTGGGTGCTGTCCCTGGGCTTTTTTTTCCCCCTCAAGGCTAGTGTTCTACTACTCTGAGCCACAGCTCTACATCTGGTTGGGGGGTGGTTAACTAGAGATAAAAGTCCCATGGATTTCCTGCTTAGATTGGCTTCAAACTATGATCCTCAGATCTCAGCCTCCTGAGTATGAGCCACTAGCACCTGGGCTTCTAACTTTTTCTGTCCAATCCCAGCCCATGTTACCTAACATTTGTGTCCACTTGAGAGCAAAGTCCATGTTTCATCCATTCTAGTTCAATGTCTGAATCCAGAACAGAGCCCTGTGCTGAATGAAGCTCAAGATTTGGTTAATGGCTTCTACAACTGAGCACAATGCTTGGCACTCAGCAAATAGCTATTGAGTGATTAAATGTTTAAATGAGATGAACACTTTCTATGGTCTGCTTTCTAACATTTTCAAAAGAAGCAGTATAACACATGAGTAGAAGGCAAGCTCTGGAGTCAGATGGTCTGGGTTTGAATTCTGACTCTTGTACTTCCACCAGAACTGTACCACCCTCTCCCTCCTCCACCCCCAGGGTGGAGGAAAATCTTAGAAAATGTACTGGAAAATCTTAGAAGCATTCTCTGTTGGTCACTTTCTGCCAGTCAGACATAAGTACCAGTTAAATATGATATGTAATCTCATTTAACCCCTGCCACAACCTGGGAGGTCAGGGGACGCCTACCTCATGATCTCACTTTCCAGATGAAAGGCTGAATCCATGAACATCTGGTGGAGGTGTGCTTGCTAACCATAACCCATTTCTCTTCTCCCTGTCCTCCCTGTCCATCTTTCAGGGTCCACTCAAAATCCCTTCTGCTAGGCAAAGCCCTGCTTAGCCACATCCCACTGGGCAGATGAATTGTTTTTTCAAACCTCCCAGTCCCCACAGCTTTCTGCAATTACTTTTCTCTTGGCCTTCATTCATCTATTTAAGAAGTATGTACCAAGCATGAATTGTGTGGCACTCACATAGTAGTAGGATCATGTAAATATTGAGTCCCACACATCAGACTGCCTGATTCCTCCTGCCTTAGCCTCTAGGTTGCTGGGATTATAGGTGTGTGTCATGACACCCAGCTTCACTTCATGTATTTAAAATACCCTGAAGACACTCGTGTTATCTTGGGTTAGCCTTGATTGTCCCTCTCTCCCACTGCCCTGAGCTCCTCTGTGTCTCCAGGGCTTCCAATCATTAGAAAACAAGTTTGATGCTCTCTTATCTAAAGATGGAAAGTGCATAAAGTGTTACCAGGAGAGAAGCCTTCCCGTTCCCATGAGTGGTAAAGAAAAAGTGAGGTGACAGGCTCTTTACACCAACCATCTTTACACCAACTGTCTTTGGGATCACTTAGGGCACCAAAGCTAACTACTGGCCACCAAGTTTGCAGATGTTGGGAAATATAGTCTTCAGGGGCTGGGAAGGTAGCTCAGTGGTAGAGCGCTTGCCTTGCATGCTCGAGGCCCTGGGTTCAATTCCTCAGTACCACATAAGCAAAAAGAAAAAAGCTGGAAGTGGCGCTGTGGCTCAAGTGGTAGAGCACTAGCTTTGAGCTGAAGAGCTGAGGGACAGCGCCCAGGCCCCCCCCAAAAAAGAAATATAGTCTTCATTTTTCCTAGCCCATGAAAGGTCTGCCTAAGAAGTGATAATGTAGCTCAGTGGTACAGCCACTTGCCTAGCATGTACAGAACCTTTGGGCTCCATCCCCAGCAGTGAGGAAAAATAAAATAAAATAAAAAGGAATGCTTAGAACTTGTCATTGAATACATCCCTCATCCTGAAAACTAGGTTCCCAGTACCCTTGTATCATTTCCCAAGAAAAGGAGAAAGGGCGAAGGTGACCAGGATGGAGAAGGAAGTCCTCTTAGACACAGCCTCGTTGTCCCCATTCTCAAGCTCTCCTTTCACTCTTAGAAAAGCACTTGTTTCTAGGCCTCAATTTCCTCATTTGTAAAATGAGGGGGTTGGACCAGTTTCTAAAGCTCCTTCCAGCTCTAAGCTGCTGTGCTATAAAATGAGAGAAATGTGAACCCTTTGGTTGCTATGATCTGAAAATATTTTGAACGTGGAGAATCAAAATTGTACAGCAGCGCAGGAACAAAATAATATGTTAATGACTAAAGATTGTATTCAGTCCAATGGGAAACGGCAGAGCTCCCGGCAGTGAATGTGAGTGTGTGTGTGTGTGTGTGTGTGTGTGCGCGCGCGCGCGCGCGCGCGCACACGCGTGTCTGTGCTCGGCTTCCTTCCTGGAGCTCAAGCATATATTCTGAATCACTAATATAGTAATCAAGGCCTCTGGCAGCCTCTTTTGCCCACTCATAGAAACATACGCACACTCCCCTTCAAATTAAACAAGTGGGGTGTCCGGGAGGGGGAAATTCCACCGCAGCCTGCTTGCATCCTTTCTGTTGGGGTGTTGGTTTGTTTTTAAAGAAGTTTTTGCCAGGAGGTGTTGGGTTGACAGTCCCTCCCCTTCCTCCCCCCCCCACCCCCAGGCCTCAGATCTCAGAATTGGGGCGGGATGATGGTGTGTGTGGGGGGGAGCTAAGGATTCCATTAGCATCCAGCTTTCCCTCACCCTCCACAGCCCCCACCACCCCGGCCGGCGGGGGAGTGGGGGGGAGCCGACCCTCCCCGTGAGAGGGGTTCGAATGGTTGCCCCTGAGACGCCCCCGCCGGAACACACGCTCCGGGCCCTACCTGGAGGAGGGGACGGGGCGAGCGTGCACCTGCCGCTCACCTGTCACACACCTGGGTGCGGGTCTGGCCGCGGGAAGAAGGTTCGGTTAGCTCACTGGCTTGTCCCTCTTCGAAGGGGCGGACCGGGGCGGGCGGACAGGCCCGAGCTAAAGATCCGGCTCCAAGTCGCTTTCCCCTCAGCTCCGGGAGTCCCTGAGGCGGGCGGGGCGTCTCCGGCACGGGCCGGGGCGCGCCCACGAGGAAGCCCCGAGGTCCCGGGAGACTCAAGCGCAGCGGCCCCGCCCCGCCCG